AAAATATTCCCTCAGCAGCGAGGAGGAGACAGTGATGTAAGAAGAGAACATTCCCTTCCTTGCTTTTTACCAGGTACTAAGAGGGTGACCTCTGTGATTCTCCCTATAGAACAGAGGCAAGAAAAACTCTTTGTCATGATGAAATACAAACCCCCAACATGATCGGGCACAGCATGAACAGCCAGACCGTCATTTTGCTTTCCTTTCCTTTCAGATAACCCAAGCATGTGTCTCATGGCTGATGTTAAAGGTGACCTGCAAATGGGGGTTAACAATGAAACACAGTAAACCTGAAATGAAATGGGGTTTTTCTGGTTGTTTTTTGAAGCATCAGCTATTTAGGCCAGTCTACCCTGTGAGATTCTCCACAACTGAAGAATTACTGAAACGGGGGCTTTAATGGGAACTTGCAGAAAGCAAAAAGTGTTTTAGTTAGGTTTTTTGAGACCTACAGATACCCATTTGACTTCAATGACTAAATGACATTTTGGGTAAAAGAAGCCTTTCTTAAGTATTCTGAATCCTTTGGTTCAGTTTGAAATAAACACAGAAGCTCTTAAAAATTCCACAGCAAAGCCAGAATATATTAGATTTTTATATCCTTTGTGCTTGGAAGGTAAATAAACCAGCGGTAGAAAAACAAACTACTTCAGACTTTGCTTGTCATAGAGAAAATAACAACACATGTACTGTTAATTGAGCATCAGTCATAAGTTCCCAGCTTTATTTGGACAGGGCTACTTTGTGCTCTTAAAGCTCAAAATGGATCACAGATCTTTACGTGGTGAACGATTTAGAAGATAAACTAGCAGAGCTGCTAACCAGCACATGAAATAATACGGCGAAACATGTTTGCAGCTACCTCGATGTGAGCTGTAATTTCTCTGCAGGGGAAGGTGAGATTTCACTTCCTCACAATAAAATGAACACCTGAAGGGGTTCCTTGCCTGTGCCATTTCTGAGGAATGCACTTTCACACTGCCCCACCAACTTCGCTCCTTTCTTGAACCTGGTGCTTCTGCCTCCCTTCCTTCCACCACTTCCTTCAGCAGCAGCCTCTGCTTTTAGCCAGACCTGCCGCAGTGATGCATCTTCCACTGGAGCCAGCAGCGCTGAACTATCAGCAAAAACACTTTTGGAGCTCTGAGATCAGTTCCTTCCCAGGATGTTGTGTCAGCTTCCCTACCTTCTGCCTGCCATTAATTTCACTGGACCCCCAGGTCAAACAACTGGCCAAAAATCTGGAAAACAGCTGACGGTCAGAACAGCTCCTGCTCAGCATGTCCTCTCAGAGGGCACGCTCCTGGCCTGGTCCTTCTGAGTGGTTGGACCTGCTTGACCCAATTTGTGGATTTTTGATCACTCCCCTGGGTCACTGATTTTCCACTTGAGGTTATTGGTTTGACCCCCAAACCGTGGGTCACTTGGGAGGTGTGATATGGCCCTGTGAACTCTGAACTCATCAGGAGCCAACAAAAACAGCAAGGGAGGGGAGAAGAATTTCATTAGGGCCTCCTCAGAGGTGGCAGCGTCTGCCGAGCGAAAAGGCAGGGGTTGTTTTGCTTCTTGCAGAAACAAGCATAGCGTCTGCAAGAGGCTGCCAAGTAGAAAGTGTTTGGTTTGAGTTGTTTTGGCAATTCCTTTAAGGATAAACAACAGCATAGACTTGTACACCATGAGCTATCAAGTGAAAATGGTGTTGCTTCAGAGAAGCCCTGCTCTTCCTTCTGGGAACTGCCCCCAGTGTCCCAGACTTACTCCTAACGGTGCGGCATTTCTGCAGCCGGAGCATGTAGGTGTTTCTTCTGCCTTAAAAAGGTTGACTTTATGATGGTTAATTTGACACACCTGGGGAGAGAAGGGCTGTGTTTTCCTGTGTTTTAAGACTCGTCAGAAGTTCATGGAGACTCCCCAGGCTCGTTGATTTGCACTGTGAGCAACTCTCCAAGAAGAGACTTCACAGGGCATGGCTGGTAGGTGGGGGAAAATGAATCCTCGGGAAATAACTCAGCTTCAACGTGCAGCGCTGGTCATAGAAGGGAAGAAAAGTGTCCTCACTGTAGCATGTGTATCTGCATGTGTGACAGCCTCCAGGGGGGATGTGCTGGAGAGTGTGGTGCAGCCATGAGGAGATCTTTCATGAAGTTTCCCCCTCGTCATGCTGCCCTGGGGCAGCCTTTTGGGCAGTTACCAGGGTTTCCCAAGGTTTTACTCACGCGAGAGTTCTGGTAATCATTGATTAGACCACTGCTTGTATTATTGCCAAGGCTGCTAAAAACCTCACATACCTTGTGTCTTCCCAGGGCTTTCCTAAAGGATCCACGTGAAGTGGATTCAAGCCTTGTCTCTGTGTACAACCTTTCCCAACTGCTAAGCCCTGACTCTGGGGAAGACACTTGAAAATGATACCACTTATGGGTATTTGACCCCTACAGAAGGGAACCTGGTGCTAACAGTGAACAGCTTGGATATTTCTTTACTTTTTAAAGAAAGATTTTGCCCTTCCCACATGTTCCTCTCTGCAGTTTGTGTACACAACCGGAGACGGTATTAGCTGTAAGGGAACCAATGGTGGATTTAGTTTTGTAACATTGGTAACAGCAGCAAAGACCTGGTGGCACAATCTCAAGCAGCTTGGGTACATGCCTCAGGTCTGGCATGCTTGTGCTTTGATTGCTCAGGCTCATGCTCACTGCACAGTCCTAGGTCAAAGCTGCCTGAATATGCTTCCCTCAGCACAATCACAGCTTCTGTGGCAGCAGTGTCACACTGTCTCCTTGAACCGGACTGGCTGAGTTTTCCTGGAAACAGCTCTTTTAGCTGGGTGGCAAAACGCATCCCCCTCTTTTCCTGCAACATCCAGACCTCTTGTGTGAGTTGAGGGATGAGCTGTGTGCTGAAGGCTCAGTAGATGATGCTGGTGGCTCAGTCCTGTTCTCAACAGTCATTTTGGTACCAATTAATCTTGAGTTTGTTATTGTAGAGTAATTCAATTTTGCAGTTAGAGCTCTGTCCAAAAGCTACCTGGCTCTTCCGTGAATTCTGGATCAGGTTTCAAGCTCAGTCCCTTTTTGATGTGATCCACAAGAATTTGGTTGATTATAGCTGCCAATGAGAACATCTTAAAATCTAATATACAGGATTTGGAGCATTATCCTTATGTTAAAAGGTGATGGGTTTAAGTTTGACATTTGTTCCTGTTGGTTTGCTGCTTGATACAAAGCAGTTCCTACCATTGCGGAAGCCTTGTATGATTAGAAGTGCGGTTTTGCGCACAGAGGAATTAAAAGCTGAGTGTGATGGGACTGACTTGTGAACAAGTCTTCATACAGAAATACATGGAGCAACTCTTTGACCTGCTGTGGAAATTAGGCTTTGTTGCAAGGCGTAGTTGTGTGAGCAGAGATAGCAGTTGTCTCAATACATGTGGTTAAGAGTCCTTTTAGTATCTCAGAGGGTGGCTTCAGGCCCTTCAGCACTTTGTCTGGACTGTCTCACCGGGAAGGGGGAGGGGGGGGAAGCCAGGAGTGCCTGTCTTTTATAATGTTCTGTTTTTAAAGCAGAAAGTCTCTGGGGAGCATAGGGTCCTTAAAGTCCAAGGCCTGGAATTCTTCCTTTTGCTCTTTCCATTTTAAACAGGAAACATTTGCACTAAGTTATTCCAGGGGGAGAATTGTAGGTTCATTTCAAGGCAGATAATGTTTGTTCATTGCCTGTGTCCATGATTTACCCCATGGGCTTAAACGAGTGCAGCAGAAAACCACATGTTTTGTTTTACTTCATGCAAAACAAGTTCCAGTGGAATCTGGGAGCCCGGATTAAGAAAGGGGGAGCGTGCTTTAAAAATCTCTGTGTGAACAAAAGAGAGGCATTGACAAATTGTGAACACCTGATCTGCTATACCAGAATGATGACTTTTTTAATAAATCTGTGCAAAGAATATTTAAACAGTTGATGAGTTCAGTCTCAAAGCCACAGAGCAGGTGTAATTGATTCATACTTTCAGCCCCTGTTTTGGGTCAAAACTCTGCCGTCTTCCATCAGCTCTCACTCAGAGAGAAGCTTCCTCAGCAGTCAATGGGAGGTTTTGCCCAAAGTGCAGACATTTGCAATCAGACTGGCAAAAACTCCTAATTGAGTTGAACTTTTGGGGATGCTCTGGTGACATGTCTGTGAGAACAATTATTTTTGCCATTTCAGAAGTATCACAAGTTAAGCTGTACTAGGAAAAAATGTGAATGCTTCATTAGTGCAAATCATGGAATTAAGATGCAGAAAGCTACAGAGAGGGCTCCATGGCACATCCTCAGGGATGACATGTTCGCATGTCGCTTTTCACGTGAACTAGAGCTTGTCAGACCCATACTGATCCTGACAAGTTACAGGGCTGTTGTAATATCAGGCCTTCTAGATCACAGGAGTTTTTTTTGAAACCCCATTGGCAGCTCACCCATTAAACACAGGTATTGTAGCCTGGCATCCCTCGTGTTTCTTCCAGGAGTTCCAACTATGGTGCTTGGAAAGTTTTACAGTCTGACATGTTAGGAAAAAAAATAGTGGGAAATGGCTTGGAAAGCGTGAATATTTGTGCATGTAAAGCTTGTGGGATTTGCAGCCTTGCAGACCCAACTCATCTGTTTATCCTCAGGCTAGATAAGATTCAGTCAAACATGCATTGTTTAAAGGAGCTTTGTTTCTATTACGGCAAGTGGATCACAGGAGGCTGGCTTTGGGAGCTGAAGGGCTCTGGTGCTCCCACATTGTGAAAGGGCTGTGATGTGCGCTGGACCCTTCCTCCAGCGTCCTGGGTGTTACGGACTTTTGTAGCATGCAGGTGGGAGGCTTGTTATCCTTCAGAAGTTCTTTTGATTCATCTGGACCTGTCACGCTTGAGGTGGTATTTCCTTTCCCAAAGTAAACGTATATTGTGAGTACAATAATGTGTCACTGGCCTAGTAGACTGCCTTTTTATGTGCTTTTATTATGTTTTTCCTCCTCAGGCGTGGACCTGCAGAGCCACTGGAATATTTAACAGGGCCACGAGTAATATACAAAGAGAGAGATCTTCCCTACTACCGAGGAGGACAGCCTGTTGTCCACCCATCTAAGGGGAACTACATCCGTGCACCGGACACAAGAGTGGCAGAATTGAGGTACCCCCAGTACTACCCAGCCCAGCCCGTCACAAATCAGCATAAAGGACCCCTTCGGCAGGATGTGCCACCTTCCCCTCCTCAGTCCCACCGTGCACCAGCTTATAATGAAATTGTCCGACACCGTGGGACCAGTCCAGACCAGTACCAGTACAAGCAACAGGATCCCAGGCAGAAGAACCCCATGACTGCAGCTGTATAGCCATGCACTGGACTTGCCAGCACAGCCCAGGGGGAATCCCGTCGGGTATCATCCTTGTAGAGTTGTTCCCAAGCGTAGCTGCCTGTAAGAATGGCACACGAGACCTGGAGTTGTTCTTACTGAGCTGGGCTCAGTGTAGGTGCTTTCTAACAGGTGAACTAAAGCCACGTGAGGTACGACGTGTTTTAAGTATGTGAGGTACCAGACAGTTGAGTATTTTTTAATTCCTTTTAACAATAGAAAGTGGCTTCTGGAAACGAAGTGCAACACTTAATACACCTCAGGGCTATTTACCGAATTCAGTTACACCTATACACTACGTTGCTGTCTGTATAAGGGCAGTGGTGTCACCAGAGTTTTCTTCAGGGTGCTGTTGTAGAGCTTTTAAGTGAGAACACAGCACGCAATACGGACTTTGGGCAGAGTTGGGGATCTTGTGTAACCCAGTGTGTGATTGTGAGTTGACAAGGGTCTGCCACAGAGGTGGCGGCTGCATTCCAGGCACGTTCACACCAGCAGCTCTGTGCTCTAAGGATGCTGCTGTTCCAGATTTGTAATCTGGCCTCTGTCTTCCTCGTTCTGTGTGGTGGCGGCAGCATTCATCTTGCAGCCTTCATTTTTTGCAGTTTGTGTAGCAAGGTTCTCCTCTCACTGCACCTGCTGCATTTAGAGTAAGGCGAAGAGCTTTATCCGCTGTGCTTGGGCAGGCTTGCAGAGGAGAAGGCAGCCACCTGAGAGGCGTGCGTCTGTAGATGTGCGTGTGTGTGCTTGTGAGCATTTCTTAGTTATACAGTGTGCACTCGTTAAATGTAAACCCTGGAGATCAGATCCTCGGCTGCTGTCAGTGAGTGTCGCTCTGGGGGTTTCAGTGGAGCTGGCCTATGAGAAGTGGCTGAGGAGGCGACCACGGGCACGGACTCCATAACTCGTGTGAAGTTGCTGTATCAGGTGCTGCCTCGGCCTCCCCGGCCCGCTCTGGCCGGGGTTTCAGTGAAGTGCCTGCCAGTGGCGATCCCGGCCCTGCTGAGCCTGCTGCTGCCTGAAGGCCCCGTGGGGGCCGTGCCATCGGGGGCCGGGCAC